TTGTTCTGCCTTCAGGTGCTTTGGAGAATAGGTTGACCCCCCTCTTCTTTGTGGCAGCCTCCTAGATATTGGAAGACTGCCTGAGACACACAGACCTAAGCAAATACAAATCTATTCATCTGGCACTGAAAACTGTCTTTCCAGTGAAGGCATTTTTATTCTCTCAGGTCTTTTCATATTTGAATATGTTATTATTCCAATACTTTTAACATCTCTCTATGGTGGAGCCTTCTAATCAATTTCCTTTCTGCTGTTCTGCATATAAATTATGCATCTTAGCTGCTAGTTTTAGTTTATTTTTTAGTTTACATTTTAGATCTGGATGGTGGACTTTGCCTCCAAGGCTGACACTTCAGGTGTTAGATTTGGACCAAGAGAGGCCTGGGTTCAAGTCCCCGCTCAGTCATAGAGCTTCCTGGGTGATATGGGGCCAGTTTCTTCCATATCAGCCCTCCTCATAGATTAGGTCTCTCTGGGAATAGAATGAGGGTTTGGCACTTCGAACTCTCAGAGAAAACGTGGAGTGTAAATAAATATTGTTATCTTACCTTTTGAATTTGGTATTCGTATTTTCATAAGGCTTTCTCTTTAGAACAGCGGTTCTCAACCTGTGGGTCGGGACCCCATTTGGGGTCGAACGACCATTTCACAGGGGTCGCCAAACAACGCAGTCCGCCATTTTTTTCCCCCTTTTCCTTAGCTGTGCTACTCCCTTTTATTCTATTGGCTTTTGAAAGCCAATAGAATAGACTCTCTTGAATAGAGTCTAATTCTATTGGCTTTCAAAAGCCAATAGGAATTGTCCAGGCTGTCTCTGCCCTGCTGAGCCCGCCAAAAGTCCCATTCTGCAAACGGTGCTGCAAGTTGTCTGCAGCGAAGGCAAGCTGTCTGGAAGTTTCCACCCCTCCCTGCTGAGCAACTACTAAAAATGTAAGTAAAAGAGGGCCAGCGGTGGGAGGTGGGAGGCCGGTGGGCACAGGGAGGGTTGCTGGTGCGCGTGGGGCCCGGCGGGTGCCTTACCTCCCTTGGGCTGGGCCAGCTGGTGGCCCAGCCGGTGGTCGCCCTGCGTTGTCGCTGCCCCTTGCCAGCGACGCCTCAGCTGGCGCAGGGGGTGGCACCACGCATGCGCGGCACTCCCGGGCAGGGAAAGCCCTCGACTTACGACCAGTTGGGTAGTCCTCGACTTACAACTGGTTAGGTAGTCCTCAACTTACGACCGGTTGGGGGTCGCGGCATTAAAAAGGTTGAGAACCACTGCTTTAGAAAGAAGCTGGAGAAGGGCCGGGGGCCTTTTGTAGTATTTGATTTATTTCCAATTTATAGGAATTGTGGTCCAGCCCATTTGAAAGGGACCAAATCTGAGAAGGCCAAGGGACCTTTTCCTTAAGGATTGGCGGATGAGAAACCCAGATATCCACATCTAGGCGCGCTTGTTTTTCTATATATCTTTCTTGAAAACTGGCTGCTCCTCTTCCAGAGATGGGGGAAGACTGATGCTTATTGTTGGGGACGGGGGAGGAGGGAGGATAGAGCCTGTGAAAAAGGCCGTTTTTCTCTCCTCTCCCTGCCCAATTCAGCTGGGATTTACTGTCCAAGGAGATGCACTGCGCTCCAGACCATATAAAATTAGTCATTTCCTAAATCCACCAGCTCCGTGCTAATAAATGGCAACCAGGCAGTATATCACCTGCATGCCAGTAGATGCCAAGATTGATATCTGCAGGGCGGCCTGAATTAATTCTTCGGACAAGCAGCGTTTATTAAGCATTCTAGGGATGTCGGATGAAGAAATCCATCCTGCCCTCTTTTGGCAATTAGTTGGGCAAGGAAAGATTGGGTGGCTTGCAGCAGCTCCCCATGGGGTTCAAATGCCAGGTCAGAGCCTGCGCTGGCTGCAAGGATTCTAGACAGGCAAGGTCCTTCACCGAGGCCCGTCCTTGGGCCGCACACAACATGCTGTTAGATGCAGTATTATTAGAAGGGCGCAGCGGGAGACAGAATCCCCAAATCCAGATTGAATTTCAGTCCCAGTTTCAAAGGCAGGATCCCAAAAGACCATCTCCCCAATGGGAATAAAGAAAAATTCACATGCATTGTATACTTTGCCTTCATTATGGAGTGCTCAGAGTTGGCAGAAAGGGCACACATGCCCAGGAATAGGATTCTGAGTGAAATGGTTAGTATCCATGACTTAATTTATAATGTAGACCTTGCACAAGCTTGGTTTCCATATGTACCCACAGCAAGTTTTAAATGTAAAAATGCCCAAACAAAGTTTTGTTTGCATGTTTGATATGTCTGTCACACCAGCAAGAAAGGACACCTTACCCCATGTGATATAACTTGGTGGTGGTGGCGGCTTTGATGTTTCTTTCTTCACCTTATAAATAATAAAGTCATAACTAGCCATAAGTAGAAGATGATTACAGGATATAATAGCAATAGCACTTAGACTTATATATACCACTTCATGGTGCTTTACAGCCCTCTCTGAGCAGTTTACAGAGTCAGCATATTGCCCCCAACAATCTGGATCCTCATTTTACCGACCTCAGAAGGATGGAAGGCTGAGTCAACCTTGAGACAGTGAGGATTGAACTCCTGGCAGTCAGCAGTGAGTTAGCCTGCAATACTGCATTCTAACCACTGTGCCAAATCATGTAAATAAAATAATTTCCTGTACCTTCAAATTTCTTTGCTGATACCCACATATATGGGGGTTATTAGCAGAGCATTGTGATGGTACAGGAAGTGTTAACAAGTTCATTTAAATATATACAATCTTGTACTGTATTTTTGTAATTGAAAGACCAGGCTTTCACCATCTTTATCCCCCTTAGCACTTCTCAACTTTCCAGAGAACCAAAGGTGTTTCTAGAAGCTTAGGGGCAATTAAAAGTTCCACGGATTAGAGGGAGAGAAAGCAAGGGAGAAATCCCTTGCTTTCTTCCCTGAACATTTGAGTGGTGATTCTGAATAAAGAGGAGACTTATAGAATTAAAAGTGCTGTAAAGTCTCCTTTGGAGAGCCAGTATAGAGATTAAGACCATGAGCCAGAAACCGGGAGATGGTTTCATCATTTCAGGGTCACGTGATTGCTATCTGCGACCTGCTCAGCCAGCTTCTGACGAGCAAAGTCGGTGGAGGAAGCCAGATTCGCTTCACCCCTGTATGATTCTCTTAATAACTATGTGCAAAAAGGTAGTAAACTCAAACATGACTCACTTAACAACTGCTTTGTTTAGCAATGGAAATTTTGATCCTGATTGTGGTCGTACGTCAAGGACTACTTGTATATGACGACTAACCATACCAATCATGGTAGGCATTTTGTTAGCAGATACACTTTCCCCTTCCCATTTCATTTAACTATTATTAACTGGAATTGACCAAGCAACTACATCTTGTAGGGAATACCTGCTGTGGGGTCAAAGGTGGAGGACGAGTGAAAATTTGCCTAGTTTTTATTTAGAGCTATGGCACCCTTTCTGTTGGGTGTCTGGTGGCTTTTTAGCTTATTAATAAGCTATCATAAGCTTTTGTAAGCAATAAATTAATTTTAGTCAGAGTTAATAGTTGTGCCTTTGCCTGCTAGAACACCTGCCAGCAAGAGCTAGAAGGGTTGACCACAAACACTCCCTAGGTTGACCACAGATGCCTCCTATTTAGATTAGCTTACAGGTTGTGGTTTTGACCCTTGATTAAAAGACCTTGCAAAGTGAACTGGTTACTGGAGTTAAGGAAGGTGACTATGATGTTTAACTTAAGTACTGCTTAGGTGTCTGGACAAGGATCTTGGAGGTGAGCAAAGTTTATCATTAATGACATAATAAAAAACACACTCTGAGGTAGTCAACTTATATAATAATGAAGTAGAATTAAATAATTGACTATTAAGGGATGGCTTTGCTTTGTGCGCATGTGGGACCAAGAGGTAAATGTGTAATCAATCAGCAATTCTTATTTTTTTCCTGTAGAAAATTATATAAAAATAACTGTACCTGATTTCTGGGGTGCTCTTTGGGTATGAAACCCAGACACATCCCCCTTTTTTGCTTCTGTACTGAAATGACAAGAGAGTATTGTCATTCTTCGATCCTGGATGGACATTGGCTTCCTCACACTGTATTCCTGTACCTCAGTGTTTCCCAAACTTGACAATTTTAAGGCATGTGGACTTCAACTCCCAGAATTCCACAGCCAGCGTTGCTGGCTGTGGAATTCTGGGAGTTGAAGTCCTCATGCCTTAAAATTGTCAAGTTTGGGAAACACTGCCGTACCTAGCCAGCCTTCTAGCCAGCCAAAGTCAGGTGACGCTTCTGCTCTGAAATGGCCTCCCTTTGGTAATCAAAATCACCCCTCTGGCTTTGAGAAAGTGGCCAAAAACCAAACTATTCTTGACATTTTCTTGTTTTAATGTATGGCAACATTTTTATTATTGTATTTGTTTTATTGTCATTTGTATTGGTATTTTATGGTGGATGTTTTGTCATGAGTTGTATGCTTTATAAGCCATTTAGAGTCAGTGGATTGTGGTGCTGTATAAGTTCAATCAGTCAGTTAATCGATCAATTTTATTATTACACCCATGGTATTCTCTCAGAATTTCAAAATTGCCCACTGCCTTGATAAAATTGGAGACCTTTTATTTAGCCAATCTGATATGAAACAATGCCAATTCACAGCATTGTCTTAAATGTGATGAATATCATCGTCTGAACAATGTGAGGTTATTGGATGTTTTGATTTAGGGATGAAGGACATGTTTGCAGTGTGCATTTTGCCACTTTTTGAATCTCTCCCCAAAATAGCAGTTTTTGTAAAACAAGCTCCACAAAAACTGTTAGTGAAATTCTCTCCCTCCCCCTACAAAGTAACTTAAATCTGCTTGATGGCAATTTGGGCAATATAGCCAATAGTATTTGGGAATATAGGGTTTAATGCTAACATCATCATCTCTCAAACTATACCATTTTTTTCCCAAATATTTTGAACCAAAGGTGTAAGTCTTTCATCAGCCAGTAGGATGTGAATTTGAAGAGACATTTGACGGACTGAAGAAGCTGATGTAATCCATAGGCAAGTACAGTATTTGAATCATTTTGTGTTTGTAGCTCAGCCTTGCTGCAGATTGGTGTTTTTTTTAAAGGATTTTGAGATTCACATTGCCTAGATTGCCTGATCTTCAGGAGTGGGGTGGAGTGCGCTCTGCGCATGTTCAGAAGCACGTGTTCATCTCAAAGAAAACATATTCCAAGCCATAATGCTCTGGCCAGTGCTCTATGGCAAAAAATACTGACTCAAGTGATACCTTTGACCAGCTAAGGCCAATTTTGCTTTGCAACAATACTTTCTGGTATTTTCCCAGAAGGCCCAGCCAAGTCCATAATGTTAAACACAGCAGCAAAACAAAGAGTTTTTCGATGCAGCCAAGCTAGAGAAGCTGTTGGTTTGAAACAACTTTGGGGACCAAGCTCGGGTATCCTGATTAGATGGCCAGGCATTCTGGTCAGTTTAAAAGACAGTGCTTTCACTCTTGTTCCTGAAACAAAATCCAAGGAAGCGATTGGAGAGCCATTTGTCTGGAACACTATAATCTCCTGCTTGAGCAGGGGGTTGGACTAGAAGACCTCCAAGGTCCCTTCCAACTCTGTCATTCTGTATTCTGGTCAGGTGCTCCAGCTCCATAGAGTTATGGAGCAATGGGTAATGGGTGTTGTAATCGGACACTCGAGCCGGGGAGGAGACGGAGCCAATCTTCCCTTTCTCCCGGAAGGGTTCCCTCCTTCCTCCCGCCACTCCAGAGAACCTGGAAACTTTTTCTCCCCTCCCTAAAAGCTTCCTCTCGGCCTCCTGCTTGCCTTGGCTTCTTCCCCTCCCCGCCTCTTCCCCTCCCCCAGGCCTCTCTCCGCCCCCTCCCCTCCCCGCTTCCAGACAAACCGAGCAGAAACGCAAACATTTTGGGCCGCGCGTCTCTGCCATCGATCATCCCGCGGCCCGGCTCAGGCGAGAGCCGCCCCCGCCCGTCCCGAGACAGGTTCCGTGCTTCATTCCCGATTCGGCTCATGCCCACCTGAGCCGCGCGCTGACAAATAGACATTTAAATCAGACAATTAGCTGGCCTCCACTGCTGACATTTTTAATGTATTAATGTGCATCAACAGCTAATACATAGAAAATTCCCCAAATAACAGGGCTCGGGTAAAAGAGGTTGCTTTGCCGCGCGGGAGCTGGCAGTGATATACGACTCCGGTGGGGCACCGGACCCGCAGTTCGCATTAATTACCAGCCGACTGACAGGCCGACGTGACAGCGCGGCGTAGGCAGGAGCCCCGTTATATTATCTTTAGCCCCCGGGGTGGGCGCGCTGCGCCGGCAAAAGGAAGCCGTGTACATTGTGCATCTGTTAACACCAAATCCTCGCCCGCGCTCGCCTGCCTGTGCGGGTGTGCATATAGTTGGCAGTCCGTAAACCATGGACCAGCCCCCCCCCGCCCGGTCTTGGGGGTTGAAAAGAATGACATTTATCCGGGGTGTCAAACGCACGAGGTATTTCTGACTGGGCCTATCAGAATTTTAACTGTGTAACTCGGTTTAGCAAAAGGAAGAGAGAGAGAGAGAGAGACAAGGCAAAGGTGTGTAAAAGTTGTGCCAGAGTGTGTTGCGGGAAAGAAGCAGAAAGCAACCCATCTGGTCTGCAAAAGTGAGAGAGGAATAAGTGGAGCTGTCTAAGGCATGTTAGGGGTCAGCTAAGGAACATTGATGGAGGATGTACGCGCAGAGTACGGGTACGTATGAAAGAAAATTATATCGGGTGTATGGGTATAACTGTAAGAATGAAAAATATAAAAAAACATATTTCCTCTCCAAAGACAGTTTCCATGCTCAAAGCTCTCAAACACGAAAAAGGAAGAGAGAAAAGCAAACAAAAATGGATCGTTAAAATCACACTAAATTGCACTGTGGTGAAGAAAAGGATCAGGTGTGTACAGAATTTATACTTAAAACTCAAGCATGGATTTTGCATGCAAAAGAGGCTGTACATGCACATAACTGATTTTCACACTGTTGTAAATACATGTTGAAGAAATCGTCAATATTGCTTAAACTGGAATATATTTCCATCTACACAATGTGAATCTGTGGGCTTGGAAGGAGAGAAGCTGTAAATATCTGTGAGGCCGTACAATCCAAAATAAAATACGTAAATTAAAGGATAATTTCATATAATAAAACAGTGGAAGTAAATGAGACTACGTTTGCTAGCTGAGTCTTATCATTCTGGTTAATGTTAGTAAAAGCAAACCTAACAGCTAGAATTAATCTGGGAGTAAATTACAGAATAAAATGTATTTAAAATTTGTTCTTTCAAAGAAATTTATTTTGGAATCATTCTTAGAAAAGAAATAATGTGATCTTTTGGGGAAAAAAGACTGGCGGGTGACAGTACAAGGTGGGCAAACCTTATAAAGATCTTTGTGTGTATATTAAAAATGAAACGGTTCATTTCTGATGCTGCTGCTACGGTAGTTTCTTCAATTGTTATATGTGTGAGTCTGAAACCATTTGCCTTCAAAATTGCCCTTCCCTTTGGTTTTTGCCTCTTCCAATTTCAATCTTCCATTTTTTTTTTTATCAGTCAGGGAAGATGTTTCCCTCTCAACACTACACAACTCAGTATTGGAAAATAGTTTGTTTGGCTAACAGATGTGTACTGTGGGTTGGCAAACATGGATTGCTTCTCTCCTGTGATATATTGCACATTTAGCTGAGGTTTAATAATTGCAGTACTTTGGGGTTTTCTTCTTTTATCCTATAGATGTCACTGATTGCTCCAAACCGGTGGATGAATGTGTAGCTCTGCTCCTGTCTCTTCCCTAAGGAAATGAATGTCAAGAATGGCTCAGAATTGCTACTCTCTGAACCAGAAAAATATTGAATTTCCTTCTATCCCCTCTGACGTGTTTCTTAATTCCCAGCAGCAGCAGCCACTCATCTGAAAGAGAGCTTTGTACATGGGTGAAACAATAGCTCAACAGCAGGGATATGTAAGAAGGGGACCCAATGCTGCTGTTTTCACTGAAGCCTTTGAAACACTGCTGGATTGTAAGAAATGAAGATTCAATCACAAACCATGCCTTGCAGACTCATAAATATATGACTTGCAAGTGGCAGCTTTTCATTTGCACTCATTTGCAGAAATATGATATGTGGTATAGACACACTGTCGTTTGTGTATCAGCTCTCCCGCATATCCATCATGTAGCCTCCTTGTCCTGTTCTGGCCATGAATCATCCACTACTAAGACGTGGCTTGATTTGCTTAACCATAATAACTGAGTACAGTACAATTAACTTGAATTTTTGCATCATGCTAAAACTATGAACCATGGTTAACACATCCCAGTGATTCAGCTCATAGTATGCAAATTGCATTATGACCAAATGCAATGTAGTCATGATGAACTGTAGGGATCATGCCAGGGTTAAGATCTGCGTTCAAATCCTTATTGGGACATGAAAATTAGTCAGTGACCTTGGATTAGACAGACGGGGAAGGAACATGCATGAGCTCCCTGGAGGAAAGCTGGGAGACCCATGTAATAAATTAACATTGCTCCTAGTAGCTGTTCTACCACTGTTGTAAATTTTCCAGCAGTCGAGTTGGACAGCTTTGATGCTGACCTCCCAGCACTGCAGGGAAAAGATATCCATCACAGCCTAGGCTGGAGGAAATGTTGAGGGTGTGTGGTGGCTTTCTGTGACACTGAGAAATCCAAGTAATTGTATCTCCACAGAGCTGAGTTTAATTTGGTTGAGATCCTGCTTCATAATATGATTAACACAATGATTAATTCTGCTCAGAGATTCTGGTTGACATACCAGAGGCTTCCAGGTCCTGATTGCAAAGGTGCAGATGCCACTAGGCTGCAGAAATGAAGTAAGACTTTTCTATAACTATTGGTTATTATTATTATTTGAATTTTCACAGCCCAGGTCTGATTTAAAAAATTAGGTTACCTATGTTTTAGAAGAAGTAATAGTTTCTGTATCTCTTTGCGATGCCACCTTTTAGTCATCCTGAGTTGTGTAGCCCAGGTCGGCTACCATTTTTAAAAGTAATCTTAACAGAAAAATCCCATACTATTTCGTTTGTTTGTTTGTTTTCTTTCCAGATTTTTTTTTATTAAGTTTCAGTAAAGGATAACGTACAAAAAGGCAAAATAAAAGGGGCTAGGGAAAAAAAGCTTAAATAAAAAGCAAAATCAGGAGTGCAAAGAGAAAGAAACAGAACTGAAATAAAGACTGTTTAGGATACCAGTTAATTATTTACATTTTTAGGCAGTTTTTAGGTCATGTGCCCTTCTAAGGCACTACTTCCTTGAGAAATTGAAATACACACACACACACACACACACACACACACCCTCCGTGGACTTAAAGTTAGAAGAGAGGAGCAGGAGGATATGGTCAAAACTAGTCCTGTCAGAAAGTGGATGATGGCTGTTCTGGTGGGCTGATTTTAGTTCGGGGCAGGTAGAGCCTTTATATGTTTTTGCATATCAGATGCTAAAGTTAACAATATTCTCATCAATTTTGGCTCCTAGGCCAGGGGTAGGCAACCTTGGCTCTTTTACGACTCATGGACTTCAACTCCCAGAATTCCCGAGCCAGCGTGGCTCAGCTTGGAAACCTCTCCCTTTCCCCTCAGCATGGCTGGCTCAGGAATTCTGGGAGTTGAAGTCCACGAGTCATAAAAGAGCCCAGGTTGCCTACCCCTGGCCTAGGCATTTTGACTTGGAGCAGCGATGGTGGGGAGCTGGTCGGTGATAGTTTTTCAGGCAACAGATTTTCTTTGGGAAGCTCCTGTTTGGAGAAGAGGCCCTTCCTTCTTTTTCTCTCTCTTTCAGCTTTTCATTGACATTGCCTACTACAACCAGACGTAGAAAAATGAAATCCAGTCATTTGAAATATATTCAGAATGACCATTTCGACAAAGACAGTTCATTCTGGAGGAATAATGGGAACACAAGTGGAATAATAACAGAATATTAATCCCCTGTAAAGAAGCTGTGTTGCAGCATAATCAAAGAGTACAGGGGATCCAGACATTGGAACATTTCCCCAATAATTATAAAGAAGCTGACTCTGCTTATAGAACTGCCCAGATAAAAAGACAGCTATTCTTTTTTTCTCTTCCTTCTTCCTGCCTGCCTTCTGTGTGGCCACCCAACTTACCACTTTGACTCTGAGCAGCTAACAGTCCACAAAAATAAACGTAAGTACAATCTGAGATCTATAACATAAGTTCATCCCTCAAAAGGGATCAACCTCTGTGAATGTTTATCCAATAAGTTGCTCAGTCATAATGTGTCTATTTTAGTAACTTAAGAGCTAAGCCCATTTTTCAGGGCTTAGGAGCAGTTCTAATTTGTTTTAGGAAACAGAACTTGATTCATCTGCAGTCTAGGGATACGGTAGTATTGGGCTTTATGGTAGGAAGAGAAGCATCCTATCCTTCTTAACAATTTTCCCCCTCTTCAATCAAGGGAAAAGCAAAGGGATCCTTGACTAGAGTACAAGCTAACCAATGAAGGCTCTCCCATGTCTTCAGCTTTGAAGAAACACAAAATAAACAACATTCCTATGTTGGGAAGGCCAGATACATTTATGCATTGGATGCCTGTTATAAGGCATAATTGGGAACATTGATCAGACCTGACCACCAGTGCTTCAAGGAATCAATTGGCAAAATCTGCTTACTAACTGAAACATTTGTCATCTTGTCCAAACTTGGGGGCAGGGGTGGGGGGGGGAACAGCATGGAACGTGAATAGGATAGAAAGGTAACGTTTCATGATCATATCACAAGTCTTGGATTCTCTTGTTGATTTTCTATGTTATCCCCAGGCCATCCTTCCCCAATAGGTTGCCTTCTATGTTATATCAGATTATGACTCCCATTGCCACATCCTGGATAGGCACTGCTCTTTCTAGAGGGAATCGTAGGTCAACAAACTTCGAAGGTCTCTGATTAGAGGATGCTCTTCTTCTATTCAAGATGTCACCTTTCCCCCACTAACCTGTCCCTTTACATAGTAACAGTTGGGATTATTATGCAATTGTTTGCTAATCTTCACCCTTAGTTTTTTCAGGCACAGGGTTTGTTTTGGTGGTTCATCCAGCTAGGATTTATATGGAAGTGGACAAATGATGACTGTGGAGTAAGAGCCAGGATCTGAGGGTGAAAAGCAGTTCTGGCACTCTCCCCTTCCTGTCTTGTTAGCCTTTGCTTAATGTGAGTGTTGACAACCTGAGAGATCGATACAGCTGACCTTTTGCAGGGATGAGAATCTGATGCATGACAGGTCAGATTTGGTAGCAGAATATTGCTGAGGCCTAAAGCTCTGATCCAGAGAGAAGAATGCCGTAATGGTATGTGGGGATGACCTTGGGAAAATGAGCTGAGAAATACTGCCTGGGGCAGGGGTAGGCAACCTTGGCTCTTTTATGACTCGACTTCAACTCCCAGAATTCCTGAGCCAGCATGGCTCAGCTTGGAAACCTCTCCCTTTCCCCTCAGCATGGCTGGCTCAGGAATTCTGGGAGTTGAAGTCCACGAGTCATAAAAGAGCCAAGGTTGCCTATCCCTGGCCTAGGGAATGGCCAGAAAAGAGACAGCATAGCCTGCAACTGGGTAATGGGAGGGGCAGGAGGCTCAGAAGAGACCCTCCCTAGTTTCTAGGACTGTAATTGAGACAGTGGGAGATTTGTACTTTCAGATTTGCAAGATTCTGACAACGTAGCTTTACGATAAAATAGAATTAGTTCATATTGTCATGTTTCCTGTCTGGTCAATCTAGTAAGGCTGACATCAATCTTACAAGTACAATTTATAGTTGTATTTGTAGCCCAGGTCAGGTGGAATCAAAACTCTAGGGATATAGAAAGTTGGCAGTTTTCATTTATAGTGTCCTACCTATCTCAGGCTGCAGCTTCTGAGCACTTGGAGAGTTCCTGATCACAAGTAAAGCCTAATAAAAAGGAAGGTTGGGATGAAGATAACCTAAGTCCAAACCAGACCTGACAATGTAGAAAGCATACAATAGGATAGGATTTCCTTTGTTTGCTCAGAGATTATTCACAAACACAAGAACGTTTAGTATTCCCTCCTTCAACAGACGGTCTAAGACAGGGGTGTCCAACCTTGGCAACTTTTAAGACTTGTAGATTTCAACCCCCCAAATTGCTTAGCCAGCAAAACTTGGACACCCCTGATCTAGGATAAGATGATAGGCAATATCATAATAAGATGATAGGCTGTCACAATCAGATAAATTAGTCCAGTATTTTCATCTCTAAGCATTCAACATTCCTCAGATCCTTGTAAACGTACAGGGTCACGTTTCTGTTTTGAAAGATTGGTTTTCTTTTGATAAACATATCCCTATTTCTTTGTATACTTTGGGAGGCCGAAGTTATACCCTCTAATTTTTAAGTGCATATTAGTGCATTTTTCAGTGCTGACTTTTATTTTCAAGTTAGCTTGGAGTAATATAAGTTGACTCCGTCAAAAGTGGGTCTTGAGTTTTGTCAGCACTTCCTTCTTTCAGGACCGCCCATTCCATCTTTCCCACGGCATCCACCAGCTGAATTACAATATGCTCACTGAATTTAATCAGGTACCTCTAAATGCTTTGCTGATCACCATCACTTTAGTTATATTTCTCCTGAAATACTAGTATTGCCGCAAACCATGAGGCTACTACTGATATGAGTTTGAATGAAAGGAAAAGCTTTACCTCTTTGAGCACAGGCATCTTGTAATAGGGTTATAAAGGCCCTTAGAATAGGCATTTAGCACATTGGGACTGGGAATTGTGGGTGACCAATTTAGGTAAACATTCCTTCAAACAAATCCTTTTTTGCCTTCTTCAGGTGACAATATAACTTTTCAAGGACTAAAAATTTCTCAGGTCTACTCTTCTTCTCGTCCGTTTACATATTCTTCATCTGAAGTCTAAAAAGTTGAAGGTGTACATTCCACAGGTGTCTTTGACTTACCTTTCGTTCATCCTAGTGTCCTTTATAATATTCTAAATAATAGAATATTTATTTTTCTCAGAATACAGAGATGGATAGTGACAGGAAGGGGACCTTAAAGAAATGGAGTGACCCAGTTGTTGGAAGAAGCAGATGTTTGAAGCAACTTGAATCCAAAAAGATGAAGAATTCACAAACTCAGCAGAGATATTAGACAGGCTGAACAAATTCCAGAGTATCCAGGGTTGGCAGCAGATGAAATTGATGTTTTAAATAATTGTGAATGCTACTCATCAGTGCTATGTTATTGAACTTACTTCGATTTTATGTATAAGAAATTCAGGCTATGAAGCAAAATCTCCTGACTCAGCTCATTTGCTAAACATCCAGAATTATGGACTATGTCTGCTTTCTAAACCTTTAAAATGCTAACAAATTGCTCTTTTGTATTTTAGCCTCACACCAGTACACTTTCAACACCCTGAATAATCAAAAGTGTAGCTGAAAAACTCTGATCTCTTTCCTCTACAAATAAAATGCTGTGCCAGCATCTATTAATGATAAAGTAAGAAATAATATATTCAAAATATAATGGCTGTGAAAAGTACTTACTTGTGCAAACAAAAGCAATTTGGATTCTCCTGTCTGTGTGGGATATTTTGTGTTACTGATGAATGGATGGTGCAGAAAGAAGCTAGCAAACAGGCTAAAGGTTCATTAAATTAAATGTTATATGGGGCACTGCAAAGGTGATGTTTTTATGTATTCTGTCTCTTGTATAAATTACCTTCAACAAGCTAAATCCTTAATCATAGTAATGAAAAATAAGCTGGCATGCAAAGTGAGAATAAGCAGTAGGCCACGCTTAGGTCAAAAGTCCAAAAACTACAGTATGTGAGAAGTGATTCTTTAGTTGCTGAAATCAAAGAAAGGAACCACATGACTCAGCCAGTGTTTATGGAGGTGGATGACAGATATAAAAGGAAGCATTTTTGTTCCTAGTCTCCAAATTATTGATGTTAACCATTGTTTTGCTGCTGAGTCCCAAATCAGTGGAATGAGTTGACCTTTATTAAATTGCATATCAAGTAAGATTTCATTCCTATAATTCTAAATTATGTGTTTAGAGTTATAATGATCCTGACTGTAATCAAACTCCAAGCACTTTTTCTCCATAGTAAATCATATTTCCCTGGCCATTTCTCTAGAACTAAAAACCAAGAGGTGTAAACCTGTTCCTGGTTAATATATATATTCCTCCCCATAGGAGAAGAATGCTTCTTGGGATTCACTGGAGAATTTTTTTATTGGGACTGAGCTCATAGATCCAAATTTGCCTTGATTTTAGCCAGTGACCTCAATGCAGGCAGTCCTGATGATTTTTAAGTCATGTGGTCTGAGGTGGACCAGATCTGCCTCCACAAGAAGACTAGAATTATATTTTCCCATGTCCTTCGGGTCAACACATGCTTCTGTATCTGTTATTATATTAACGCTTTCTGAATGGTTTCATCAAGGTCATCTCTATGGCTCCATGCAATGATGAATCCTTTCCTTCCCCATTTTAATGCAATTTTTTTTTCTCATACAAGCTATTTCAATTTGGCCCTCGGCATTCTAAAGACAAATGCATCATTTCAAGAGGCTGCAGGTTTATCTTTTGTCCATTAAACATTACTCACAAATTATAAAGGGTTCAGCCTCTCAAGACTGGAAGGAGAATGCACCTTCTGGGGCCAAAAGAGCATTCCTATCTTTAATTATATAATTGATACATAACACACTTCTTCTTGGCAGTTATGATCTTGAAATAGTTTTCCATTCTGACTGTAATCCCTTTCCACTATCTGGGGTGTTTGATCTCGTAATGATTTGGCTTAGAAAATGTAGGTACAGGTAATTCTCAGCTTAAGACCACAATGGAGCCCAAAATTTCCATTGCTAAGCAAAACGGTTGTTAAGTGAATTTTGCCCCATTTTACAACCCTTCTTGCAGCAGTTGTTAAGTGAATCACTATAGTTGTTAAGCTAGCAACACGGTTGTTAAGTGAATCTGGCTTCCCCATTGACTTTGCTTGTCAGAAGGTCGCAAAAGGTGATCATGTGACCCCAGGACTCTGCAACCGTCATAAATACATGCCAGTTGCCAAGTGGTCAAATTTTGATCATGTGACCATAGGGGTGCTGCAATGGTCATAACTGTGAAAAACAGTCACAAGTCACTTTTTTCAGTGCTGTTGCAGCTTCGAACATCACTAAACGAATGGTTGTAAGTCGAGGATTACTGTACACACTTCCCAAGTCAAGTGGTCTAATGTGAATGCTGCAGTAGTCACCCCGTTTCTAAACTTACCTGAACCCCTATTACTTAATTTTCTTAAGCCCATCAAGCTACTGAAATGTATTCATGAAACATTAAATGCCTCTCACCAGTTGCAGAAGCATGTCCACATTTGGCTAAAAAAATTGCAACCATCCCTGCAGTATTTATTAATTTACTAATTTATTAATTTACATTTCTGTGTGTCAGATTACTCTCTACGGAGGGCTTCTTGTTTGACAAGTCTGGGTAAGCACACAGAATTAAAAACAAAGATCTAAAGATATCCAACAGAACAGAAACAGAAGCTGGCACGTCTTCTGCTAAAACATAGTAACATCTACTAAAAATGTGTAAACCCTTTCTAGAGGAGGCCCATACCCCACCCTAGATTAAACCTGGTGTGTAAAAGCAAGTCATATTTTAAGGATAGCAGAATTAGGGCCATTTATAGCTGGAGGAGCCTCTAGATCAGTGGTTCTTAACCTGGGCGATATTGCCCCCCAGGGGGCGATTTCATTTTTCAGGGGGGCAATGGAACGAAAAGGGGCGACGGGGGTGAAGGAACGAAAGGGGGGCGATATGGGGGCAATGGAGCAAGATGTTTTGGGAACACTTTTAAGACTTTTTCGTACAGTGAATCGCTGTATATCTGTCGAACAAAAACATCAGATCGCTCGCTATTAGTGGATTGAATTGTGTTTTCAAATGTTCCTCCAGCTAGCTTCAATAACACCGTACATATGTGAATATGCATCGCTTATCTTCAGCAGCAGCCTCTATCCATACAGTGGCACGCCATTGGCCAGAATATGGGAGATATGGGGAAAAGACTGGAAATAAATTATTTCCATCGATATGTCCTGATGACAATTTTAAAGAAAACAAAAAAAGTGTTTGCATAAATTGAATTATTTCCTATGATTGAGAGGTTATGTTGGGGGAGGGGGCGATGACAACTTGCTCATTTGCTCAAGGGGGCAATTCGTTCAAAAAGGGGGCAATTCGTTCGATCTAGTGCTCTAGATCACTAAAATTGTTGGCAGCTTTTGGGTTCCTTCTTAGGTGATTCTGGCAGAAATTAGCTGAAAATAGCTTCTGTCAGTTGCCGTTTATTGTAGCTACGTTTTATGCTTCATGAGGATACCTCAGTCCTTTCTACCCTGCGCACAAGGAAATATCTTTGTATCTGTTTATTCAACATTCATGTTACAGGAATTGTGTAAGCCTTCTTTAAGTGTAATTTCTACTCCTTCCTTCACTGAAGTACAGTTTAATCTCCTTGCTTGCCTAGTCTCTCTTTAACTCAAGCTGGGCTTCATTGCAGCCTCTGGGCATTAACTGAATAATGCCTTGTTGAGAGATAAGATAAATAAATCAAGTAGGCAAAGGCATTTAGGCATTTACTTTCAGTCTTCTCTTTCTTGGCTGTATCATATTTGTCTAGGCCAGGAGTGTCAAACTGCTGGCCCGTGGGTTGGATGCATCAGGCTGAAACCATGCCCACCCCAGCTCCGGCAATGGGAAAAAAGTCGCAATATGTCACGGCACGTCACATGACGTGGCGAGTTTGACACCCCTGATCTAGGCCCAAAAGGCCACTAAAACAATGATCAAGTTTGCCAGCTGCAATGGGAATACTTCTGTTCCTGCTATTATCTGTCTTGTTTCTGGTTTCACTATGACTCACATATAGTTATTATGGCAATTCACAGTTTACTCAAGGTTAAGAGATTGTAACAATCAAAGCATGTCAACCAAACAATCTCAGACATTTGCCTGAAGATTGGCTTTTAAATAAGAGTCCACAGAAGAATAGTTCCAAATCAGTCCAAGATTCCAAAAGTCTTGTCAAGATTGTCAGCCAGTCTAGGGGTCAAAGGTTCAAGGTTTTTTTTTTTTACACAAACAGAATTCACAGGAATGCCACATAAGAGCTAGACGTCAAATATTGTTTCCAGCAAAACGAACATGCTTGCCTTTTAAATCAGACTGCAACAAGCTGTCACAACTCAAAAGGATTTATTCCCTTGCTTGGCAAGGAGCCTCACAGAATGTCTCTGCTCTCCTCTCTACTCACCAGAGGCAGGGGCTAGGAGGGTCTTTACCTCAGGGGTCTTCAAACTTGGCCCTTTTATGACTTGTGGACTTCAACTCCCAGAATTCCTCAGCCAGCGTGGCTGGCTGAGGAATTCTGGGAGTTGAAGTCCACAAGTCATAAAACAGGCCAAGTTTGAAGATGCCTGCTTTACCTCATCCTCATCTGACTGCCCTAGCTGTCCAGTCGATGCCTGTTTTTGATCAGCCTCATGTGACTCTGGACTCAATGACTCCTGAGGCTGGTATTCCACATTTTCAGTTTCTTCAGATACAAAATTTGAATCCTGAGCCTGGATCATGACACTTTCAGAACATAATACTTGGCACTGAAGTTATCTGCTTCCCTTTCACAGGCTTTTCAAAGAAAATCTACAAGAATTTTTATTTATTATTTATTAAATTTCTACACTGCCCATCTCACCTGAATGACTCTGGATGGTTTACAACATCATTTACTATGTAACATGTAGTAAACGTGCTCAATCCTTATTGCCATTAGGTTTGAGGCTTGATCTTTGATAAATAAATAAAAAAGTAATACAATCAATCAATCAATCAATAAATAAATCAACAAAATAAAGCTAGATTTTTGAATTTTAAGATATCAGCTTATCCCATGGCAAGAGGGTGTTAAATGGAGAAGTACCCACCAACTGGATACTGGATAATTGATCTATTTTTGATTTGAAAGATGCTCAATTTGTTGTTGGAATGTTTTTTTTAAAAAAATGTTAAATTCATGTGAATTTATACACATCCCACATAAAACAATGATAATTTAATAGGCTAAGTATACTTGGAAAATTATTTGGAAGAAGTACTTAGATCTTGTGCAGGACCAGTACTTCATTCAAGTAGTATGACCTTTTCTCAACCTTCTGGAATAGCTTATTTTAAAATACTTTTTTAAAAAACAATTATCTTAGCAGTTTTTTAAAGTAAGGAACTAAATTACCTTTACAAAAACATATTTTTTGAGTGTATTGGGTTTCTCAACAGATGTTAAAAAAAGGTTAGTAATTGTTCTTGTTCTAGATGTCATTCCAGAGTGCCTTAAAAATGTCTGGCTTTTCTCCCAGGCCCTGGGTTAGAGTACATTAATTGTGGCCCCTGATGGATTGGGTGTGGCTGTGGGTAGCTGGATTCATCATAGGTTTTTGTTGTTTCTTCTTATATATGTATGGTATTCCGTTTTCATTCTATTAGTTTTACTTACACCCAGAGTTAGTTGGAATTGGTGGCATCTCTACAGAAGGAATTCAATTGAACTAAATTAAAATATGCTGCAGCTGTAGTAAATTTGAAGGAATTTTAAAACGTATGCTCTGAAACTGGTACTTCCTTTTGGTGTGGCAGGTCCTTGGGAAAAAGTTACAGCTTAAAGATATCAATGCAGTGTTGAATTATATTCCAAACATTTTTTTTGCTTTGGACTTCATCTGTTTCTGAAATGCTCTGGCTATATTGTTTTTGAACTGTGGCAGAAAAGGTGATTATGTATGCTTGGAAGGATGTGCGTGCACCAGAGTCTAAAGGTTGGCTTAATGAAACCTGTCAATGCTCAGCCTTTGAACTGGCTCTTTATTGGCAGAGGGGCAAGATTGGATGATACGGTTCCAGTGGTCTAGATTTAATTCATTGTTTATAGTGATTTATATAATTATTACTTTAG